TGATTGTTGTGCATCGACATTGAGCATTGATATAGAAATAGATGGATATAGATATTGCATTGATAGCATGGACATGAATAGTATAGAATCATTGACACTGTTGCCTATAGATTCATTTATTTATGCTTATAAATTCATTGTTACTAATGCTTATGGATTTATTGATCTTGCATATAGATTCACTGTTGTTACTGTTTCTGCACCGTATTGACTGCTGCATGGATTCACTGTTAGAATAGATTGAGATTTATCGTACTGTCTTCCTCGTTTGATTTCATTGAATAGATATTATTGATTAGACCGCATTGATTTGATTTGATAGCGATTGATTTGACGGATTGATTGATTTCCTATTGTGTATGAATTTCTTCGAGATTGACATGGATTTATTGAGTTGATTTATCGATTCGCCTGCTGCTGCATTGACTAGTTTTATTGACTATGGATTTCCGTATTGCATAGATTCATTGACCATTGACTGATATGATTTGATTGACTGGCATGCATATTGATAGTATAGTCGTGCTTTGACTTCAGTTATAGGTATTAGGTGACCTGCTGGGCTTTGTAAAGCTCATTATATGTGGTTGATATTTTCAGGTCAGGGCAAGGGAGCAGAAGATAGGAATTGATCCAGATCTTCAGGTTTTTATCTTTTGATGATTTTGATTCTTTTGTACTCAGGATAGATTTCAGTACTAGTGATTGTAGTGTGATTCCTGAGTATTGTACATGACTTTTGAGATATGAATCGACTTGTATATTGATGTTTTAAATTTTATAGAAGTTTGATAGACTGTTTAATTGAAGGTTTTAGATAACTCTGTAAATTGTTTGAGAAATAGATTGACATTCTTTCCAAGTTAGATCTTGGGGCGTGACATACAGTTTGGTTGTGTTAAAAGCACTGGGAGTCTTAGTGGACTAATTTTTAAAAATCTGATGTATTAAGCATTTTGGTGTCTCAAGGGCTTATTTTCTAATATGCTAGCACATGGCAGTCATAAGAGCCTGAATTATGATATCTATTTATGATGGGAGGTTTAAGGGCCTAAAAAAGGTCTATTACTTTCTACTATATACATAAAGTACTTGGTCATTTATTTTTAATGAGCAAACATTTTTATTTTACTTATCTCCAAGTCATATTCTACTTAGTATAATACTTTATGATCAACTGCTCTTAACTTCATTTAAAATCTTGATGAATAAATTATTAGAAATTTTGATTGGTGGTTGTGACAACCTGAGCTTTATTGGCTCACTACTATTATGCACCCTATTTTAGATCTGGGAAATGCAAAATAGCAATTCAGTACCTGAGAATTTAGGACATGCTATATCTGTGTTTGTAGATGTATTTTTTTAATTTTGGGTATAATCATGGCTATTTATTTATTTGCTTTATTCTAGTTTATAGGCATGCAGTGTACTATATAGATTTTTTAAAGATGCATTTTGATGATGAATGAAAAAAAAATTATCGATGAGTTATTTTCTATTGTTTGGCAGTTTATTAGTAGCTCTATGGTCTATTTAAATTATAAAATTATGAACAGTCTCAAAAACTTATATATTGGGCTTGGTCTATTACTATTCTACATGATATGAAATGTCTATTTGTGAGTCATATTGGGTTGGATTGCGACAAAAAATTATGATGGTGATATCTCTCCATTATCAGATTTGAGGATAGTGATAATTTTAGTTTATCTTTAAGATTGAAAATAAGCTTTGAACTCTAAACCTTATACACCTTGGTCAATAGACAATAGTCTACATACTGTATATTAGGTTATAGCCATCTTCCAGCAATATTTCCCCTCAGAATGATGATTAAATCACAATTTAATAAATCTCAGTAATCTTCAAACCATGATCGAAAAGTTATTTAAGTGTTATTAGACAATTCTTGAAAGAGATTGGCCTATTTGAAGAGTTATCATATTGTCTTCTACGCACAAATTATCAATATTCAAACCCAACTTTAATTCATTATAATCTTAATCAAATTATTTTAAACTTACATTCATCTCTTCATAAATCATGTCAAATAATCTTCAAAGAAGGGTCAAAGAAGATTTAATTAATTGTTTGAATAAGTTCAAATAAGGATATAATGTCTCAAAGTAAGGCTTAAATATTATGAATTAATGGGTTTAAGATATTAAGAAGACTCTTCTAATAGGTTGATCATTTTTGCCAATCTTGATGGTTCAATTATTATCTGTCATTATTCAATAATTTGCATGTTGTTTGAAGGTGATTTTTTATGACAACATCACCTCTTTTTAGAGGAGAACAACAATTTTCATTTCCTTGAAGCTTGGGAGAAAGGTCATGTTCAGGTGTAGGGTTATTAAAATGAGTTTTTGAGCCAGGTTCGAGTCTAACCCAAAATTGATTTGCCATCATTTGACCCTACTGTTTTAGCAAAATGGATCACAGACCTGGACCCGAACCCAACCCAGTTCAAATCCGGGTCAACCCGACATGGCCTGCCAACCCATCTTAAAATTTTTTTGCTAACTCAATAGTCCTGCTTTAGCATGTTTCTTCATTTCTTTGATAAAATCCAGCTTTCTAACCACCTGATTGGCTAATCGGTGGACCCCTTAACTGGCTGACCGCCTGATCAGCTAATTGGATAGATTCACTTTTCATGATTCTCCTTCCATTTTGTATGCTTCTTCTTAGGCTAAATCTCATAAGTTAGTCTCGTTAAGACTTTCGCTTTCGCGTGTCGAGCCTCTAGTCCAAACTAGTGAACCATTCAAAACTTTCTTATTATAAGGGAAATGACGAATTGCAAATAGAGTGATGAACCATGAATAAAAAAAAAATGAAACAAAATTCAATTCTCACCTCCTGTTTGTTGCGTGCTTCTTCGACAAATTCTATAAATCATTTAGATCCAGTTAAAAATTGGGTTAAGTTTTGGTTGGTAAGATAACCCATACCGACTAATTTATTAAATGTATTAGTTTTTTAGACATGAAAATGACTCGTCTTTTAAATAGGTCAACTCGAACCCAAATTTTTTGGGTTGGGTCAATTTTTGACACCCCTATTCAGATAAGCTGATGTGACACTCATATTTATGATTGAAGATGAGAAAAAATAATTGAAATTATGTGACTATGCATAACTCATATGCTTTCCAATAAACTCAAATGCTACATTAAACTGTCTATGATATCTTCTTCCCATAAAGGTTATGGTATCGTATGCCCATGATCTCACTTTCACCATAATATAGGCCTTATAAGGAAGGATGATTCTAGTTTATAAATGCTACCTTAGGTTAGTTGACCAATTATTGCTATTTGATACTAGACAAACACTTATATCTCGTTTAAAGTAATCCAAATGCAGGGTTTTTTGGAATTTTGGTGTTTGGTTTGAAGTAAAGTAAAATTTTGGTGTAAAAGGAGTGTATTTGGAAAATTCCAAACAATGATTTTGGAGTGTATTTGAAATTCCTCTAATTTGGATGATTTCTAAATACACTCCGAATGCACTGCCACTGCCATGATCATTGGCCACCTCCGCCACCACCGACGGCGGCCATCTCCTTGGATGGGGAGGATAACAAACATAGATGATTTCTCAAATGCTATAGTAAGATAATCCAATTCAAAATTTAGAAATAATTAACTAAGGTAGTTCTTGCAAATACAATATAATGATTTCTCTACATCTTATTTACAATAACAATTGTGGAGTATATGTACTACAATACTTTTAATACTTATTTTTAAAGAAAAATATTGAATTATAGCTTAGCTTACAATAAATATATAAGGTAGCATGGATAAATTTACTCATTAATTTACAGAACTTTATTATGGTTGATGCATATATTATCACAAATATTATGAATTTAAACATTAGTTCTCTTAAAGTTGTTATATATATTGTGAATATGTTCAATTTTATAAACATTTTTTCCTGTTGATTAATAATTGTTGTGATTGTACCCACCACTTTACTACAAATATGGTAACTTATTTCATATAATCCAATATTTTTTATTGCAATTTTATCCTCCATTGTGCATGCCTTAAAATCTATTGTGCTTAATTATTGTGATTGCATTTTGCTATATTATACTCTATCATTTAACAAGTTTAAATCAAGTTCAGACATTATACAAACCTTATGTGATTTTGTAATTCAAATATTTATAAACTTTTTGAACAATGTCTTATAAGAACATAATACAAGTAATATTCAAATCTTTATTGAAAATTCTTATGGATAAGGCCAACTTTTATTTAATTGAGGTTTGAATAATGCTCATGAATCAAATTTTTATGGCCTCAATATTGATTCTTAATTTTAAGAATAAAGGTGATGAAAAAGAGTGTGTAAATTATAGAGGAATTAAGTTAATGTGTCATACTTTAAAACTATGAGAGATAGTTATTTAGCATATGTTGCAACGTGATACTAAAATGTCTTAAAATCAATTTGTATTCATGCCAAGTAGGTCTAATATGGAAGCTATGCATTTATTAAGAGGTTTGATGGAGAAATAGAGAAAGAACAAGGAGGATCTACATATGACATATATTGATTAGAGAAAGTTTATGATAAAGTTTCAATAGAAGTGCTCTGGAGAGTTCTAGAGAAAGTGGGGTTAATAATGCTTATATTCAAGTCATTAAAGATATGTATGCATGAGCTATTACTTGTGCTGAAAGATAAGGTGGCTTAACCAAATATTTTCCTATTTCAGATGTATTACATCAAGGATCAGCTTTACACCCATATCCTTTTGCCTATAGTCATAAATGTTCTTACTAGACATTTACAAGAGGATTTCCTCTGGGGTATTCTTTTTTCTCTTGATATTCTTCTTGTTGATAAGCCTACAAAGGGAGTTGAAAGTAAAATAAAAAAAATATGAATTTGACTTAATAGATTTGAATGTCTAAAATAATAATAATAATAATAATAATAAAATAAAATCTGAGAACAAATTAGACGCTTGTGTACAGAACAAAACTTTCCACATCCCAGTGTGCTTCGTTCGCTCAGTTCACGTGTTTGGGTTTATCACAGATTCACACACGCACACTCTCGCTCCCCCGCTATCGTTTGTTTCGCCGACATGGATCGTGTGATGGATCGCGAATCAGGTTCAGCTTCATCAGTCTATCTTGATAATTATCTGATCGTTTGTTCTTCATTTCTCAAGTCCATTTTTTTTCGATTCAGTGATCGAGTTTCTCGGACAAGTACCCCTCTTGCAGAGGCTTCCGAGTTCTTCCCTTAGGAAGATTGCAGATCTCGTCCGTGTGAAGCACTACGGTGAGAGGGAGACCTATGATTTTAGTTTTTGTTATTTTATTTTATTTTTTCACTTTTGGTTCGGGGATTCTTTATCATTTGTCTAGCACTTCTCTCGACTGTAATTAAATAACAAGCGCTGACTGCCCAAAAATGGTTTCGGACCGGTTGAGATTGTCGCCGGGGGCTGATTTCTGCCCGAGTTGTTTTCTATTCCCATACACTTACAATCAAGAAAGTAAAAGATTAGCACAATACTCATACCCAATGAATGAAACCCCCACCCCCTAAAAGGACTTTTGAATAGCTGAATGTGAAGGCAAAGAAGAACTAAACCATTTTTTTTTGCTCGGGTGTTGAGTGTAGAAGCATAGATTTGACATTCAATCCCAAGATCTTGGCGACAGAGTCCAAAAACTTTAATACTAAAATGGCTGGCACCCATATAGAAGGCCTAAAACTAATTCAACAATATTACCATACAGGTGAAAAAGAGGGGGCCGCTCACTTTTACCCATTGTAAGGCATTTATCAACTCTTGGAGGAGGGTTGTTACCTTGCACATTCTACGGGGAATGGATGAACCATGTCATCTTTGAATACGTTGGACCAAAAACACTCCCTAATCAATAGCAGCTTTGGTCACTCATGACATTCACATTGAAAAAACATGCCTCTAACGATGATGAATGAATAAAAGCACCAAAAGTTGCGATGATGAAATCTAAATTGAATGATTGGCTGATGAAGTTTGAGAAAAATGCCATTGTTGATTGAATTATATGGCCGGATTTATATTAAAAACTCAAGATTGGTGTCAATTGGAATAAAAACACCAAAAGTTGCGATGATGAAATCTAAATTGAATGATTGGCTGATGAAGTTTGAGACCAATGCCATTGTTGATTGAACTGTATGGCCAGATTTATATTAAAAGACTAGAGGTTGGTGTTAATTGGATTCACTTTAGCAAAATTGATTAGTGAGCTGATATAAAACTGATGAGATTGAGTAGCATCCGAGCTAGGACTAATGCCTTAACTGAATGTAGCTGCACAAACCATTTGCTGTATCCTTGATCAAATGGCTTGAATCATGTAGGAAGTGGTTTTTGGATTCACTTTAACAAAATTGATTAATGAGTTGATATAAAACCGATGAGATTGAGTAGCACCCAGAGCTAGGATTAATGCCTTATCTGAATGTTGCTGCACAAATACCAGTTGAGCAGGAATCATTGTATCCTTGATCAAATGGATTGAATCATGTAGGAAGTGGTTTTCATATTTATAGCAACATTTAAGCATAAACTACAATCTGCTCATTTGAATAGAATTGGAGATTGAGCGCAATTGCACTCATCTGTTTTTTTTCTTTGATCTAAATAGATATGGCATTTGAAGATGGAAGAAGATGGAGCGCAATTACACTCATCTGTTTTTTTCTTTGGTTAGATCTTGAGAGGAGAGAGAAGGTCCACAAAAAGAGGAAGGAATTTGAAGAACTTTTCGGATGCCAACATTGAAGATGGAAGAAGGTGGCCGATCATCCTTGGATGAACGGAACTCCTCAAACTTATTATCTACCGCGCGTCCAACTCTGTTGGATTCAAAAGGTAGATTTTCATTCAATCGCAGCATTTCTCGCAATTTCATGAACTCTCCTCTGTTAATCAGAGAGGGAGGTTTAGTATCCTTGAAGAAGATTGTACCAGGTCAGGAAAAGGAAAATAAATTATTTCTGACTTCAACAGTAAGTCATCCTCAAATAGATCGATTTTTTCACTAAACCTAATGATATGGAAGCTTCTTCTTCGGGTTGCAAAGATAATAATTCTTTGATGAATGATGTTGGTGTTGGTAATTCTTCATCTGGAATGGATAGTTCTAATGTGTGGATTAAAAAACCACATATTAAAATTAATTTCAATGAAGTTTTTGATGGAAATGAGGATGTTAATGTTGTCAAACTTGATATGGAAAATGAAAAAGCCAATGTTCAAGTTTTGAGATATTCATTGTTGGTAAAAATTCTATGTAAGAACTTGCCTTTTTCAATCTGTTCTCTTGAATTAAGGAAGCAATGGACTAAATTTGGAGGGTTTCATATAACCTCTCTTGGTTTGGATTAGCTTTTGTGTTCTTTTCAATCATTTGAAGCAATGAAGGAAGTTCTTAATGGAGGACCTTGGTATGCTGGGGGATTTATCATTGGTTTAGATAGATGGTCTCCTAACTTCTCTCCTATCTCCATGGATGGGATTTCTTCTCCCATTTGGGTTCGTCTACCTCATTTGCCTCTACATTGCTGGGATGAAACCAATATTACTAGATAGTTTCTAGAATTGGGACTCCTTTATTATTAGATGGCAGTATGTTTATATGGGAAAGAAGGGAATTTGCTAGTGCTTGTGTTCGTATTAAATTAAATTCTAAGCTTGTGGCATTTGGGTTGAAGGACTTAATGGAAGGTTTTTTCTAAGATTTGAATATGAAAACATTTCATCTCTTTGTTTCAAATGTGGAAGGATTGGACATAAAGAATTAAAGATTATATATGTCCAAATGTCCCTAATTCACTGAATATGGTTGATAATGAAGTTGCTAAAGGTTCTTTTCAAGTTGATAATAACTCTCATGGGCCTTGGATGCATGTAAAGTTTAAAAACAGAAGAAGGCAAAAAACGTTATTTGATGAGAAGAAATTTGATTTTCTCTCTAAGAGTAATCATGTTTAGATGAATTCGGGTAGGAATCTTGAAGTAATTAAGGAAAATGTTGCTCATATTGTATATGATAAGATTACATCAGATCTTTAAGATTCCAATAAATACAGTGTTCTATCTCATGAAGGAAATGATATTATGGAGGCTGAATTAGATTTTGTTAACAAGGTTAACTTGGAGAAAAATTTAATTGAAGAAGATGTTTGCAAGTCTGTTCAATTTCTGGATAATAAGCTGAAGGACAGTTCAAATGAATTGATTGCCGATCAAGATGTGTTTATTCATAATTTTGTTCAAAATTCAGAAATTGAAGCAACACGAATTCTGGAGGGAGTTAACGAAGTTGGTAATGCTGAGTTGGCATCTGTTGCTGGAATAACAGAAGTTCAAAATTCACAAGTTGAACTTGCACGAATCCTGGATGGAGATAAGGAAGTTGTTAATGCTGAGTCGGCATCTGCTACTGGAATAACAGAAGTTCAAAATTCAAATTTTGAATTCATAGCTGCTCAAATTCAGGTGATAGAAGAGGATGCTGTTGCGGCTAATTCTGGTTCTGAACCGTATGTTGATATCCCTTCAGCCTATAACGTGGAATTTGGTGTAACTGAAGTTCCTTTAGACGGTGCTGGAGAAAATGTAACTGAATTTGTTACTCTTCCCTCCGAGGTAAATTTGAATTTTAAAAAGGCTGTGTTAGCCAAAGGGATAACGTCTTCTATTGATTATTCTTCTGCTTCTAAGCACAAACTCTTCAAAGAGCTACAAACATTAGGACCGGCGGAAGATTATCCTCGTAGAAGAAAGGCAAATCTCAGTTTAAAAATAAAAAAGAGGGGTTTCTGCCCTTTTGCTCTTTAATGATTTCTCATTCTTATATTGGAAACAACATCACGGAACTTCTCAGGAGATACTTGATGATGCAAATTATGAGCAAAGAGTATCTCAGATTACTTGTTATGGATTATGGTCTCGACTTTTGGAAGTGGCACCTAAGGAATCTTTTGGATGTTTTCTTAGGAGTTTTTTGGTTATTAGTGAATACTTGTAATTTCTTTCTAAAGTTTTTCAGTTTATATTGCTTTATTTTAGCATCTTATTTGTTTTCTAAATTTATTCTAATTGATTATGTAATCGATACTAGGTCTTATTTTTTAACCGGTTGGGAACTCTGGGATACTAATCAACTTTACATGTTGTTTTTTTATATTTGGTATCCCCTCCACCCCAAGGGTTTTAAAATAGGAAATAGTGGGTCTCATTTCAATTATGGTAAGTTTAATTTAACAAATAGGCTTTTAATAAGGTTTCTTTCCCTGTTGGATCAAGAAACCATTAGTTTTTTCTTTGGTTCTAGTTTGTACTAGGTTGTTCTTTCTTTCCTTTTTAATGCAATATTGCATTTCTTCAAAAAAAAAAAAAAAAGAAGATATGGCATTTATTTTCTTCTTCCCTTTGAAGTGTAAATTACACTTATTCTCTTCTTCCAATCTACTGGTTCACTAAGTGAGGTTTTTCTGCCTTTTTTTTTCCCAAAATATAGTTTTAATTTGTCGTAATGCACTTCAAAAGAATTCCATATCATACTTGCACCAGTGCAAAACGAAGCTTAAAAAGGAGAAATCATTTTAGTTGGAATATATATATTTTTTTAATTTATTGCTTTGTATGAGAAGATAAATATTTTTTTTTTCTTTTGCCTTATCATATGACACTTCTCTTAAAATTGAGGATCCTCCTACATCTTCAACACAATGCTTATGAGGGAGGAGAGACGAGTACGTTATAGGAGGGCAATGCACAAGAGGATCGCAGGCTGTCATCACTTTTTTATTGCAGACTAAGTTGAGGTGATCTTGAAGAGGGGCCTGAAGGATATTTTTCTAAAGTAACATTAGACACTCAATCTTCTCAGGTGTTTTGAACGAAATTACACATGAGTTATGGTATGATGGGAGGTGCAGAGCACGACTCCACTGGTAATATGTTTCTTAGTAAACTAAAATGCTATAGAATCTGTCTGCGAGTATGTTACTACTGAAGAATTGCAAGACTTCAAGTTGGAAGTTGGCAGCAGGAAGCATGACTATTTTCAGCACTACAGGAACTATAAGTGCAAGTAGATATTTATTCACTTCTATTTAATCTCTTGGTTGGCTGCGAGGAGCTTTACTAGTTTAGAATCAGGAGGTTAGAGAGCTCATAGATACATATTCCTTGTTGTTTTTGATGTTGTGAATGTTTCATATGTGTATTGGATTTACTTATATCCTCAACTATCTATTTAAAATTGCAATCTTTCTTTATATCTGTGTGTCCATGTTTTATTTATAAACTTCTATATATATATATATATATATTATTCATTACCTTCTTTTATAGGTAGTGGAGATTATGTAGTCCATGAGGGGGAAGTTGGTGAAGGCCTTTACATCATCTGGGATGGCTTGGTAGGAGCACTCTTCTTTGATTTTTTTTTTTGTGAAATTTAAGGATATTCACTTTTTCCTCTTATGGATTTCTTTTTTGCATATTATATGGCTCATTTGACCAAGGAAAGTATGCTTTGCTTATTGACCAAAACATATAACTTACATAATGGTGGCTTTTGGTGAACTTATCACACATGCAAGATGGTATCTTATATGCTTCATGCATATTCCTTAAATCAATTTCTTCTTGGCTCTTTAATTCTTTCATGGAATGTGTGGTACACTTATCTTACCTTACTTTTATTTCCTTATTTACGTTGTTGAATGGTTAAGCTGGGTATTGAAGCTTGCTCATATATTGTGACGTAAAAATTAGCAAAATTAACTGATTTTTATAGTTCTAAAAGGTATCCTATATGATTGTAAACCCTTTAACATTGATTGTTGTTAGTGATCATATCACAATATTTGTTGTGTGGAATGCAAAATTTTTAATAATATTTTTATCGATGCATGCATTTGGGTTTCACCTCAGCTTCGAAATGGTATTTTAAAAACAATTGGCTTTTTCACATTCATATGTGGCACTTCAAAGCTTAATATGATAATAATGACTTTTAGCCCTGCTTAGTGAATTTCTTCTTCATTCTAGAGATCTACTTAGGGGTTGTTTAGCTTGATGAAAAATGAATGCAACGTAAAGTAAAAATAATATATGAAAATACTTTTGAGTTATTTGTTGAGGACACTACAAATGGAGGAATTTAATTTTTTTGGTTTTGTTGAAGGGAATGCCAAGTAAAATAATTGTGCATTTGGAACAAAAGTTGATTTGAAATGGTCGATTGTGAGGGTGGCGATGGCCGGCCAACATCACTTTTACCCAAGTTGTGTATTAGAATTCGCTCAAAATGGGCGAATTTCAAATGCACTCAAAATGATTGAGAGTGATTTCTAAATGCACTATCAAAATATATTGCATTCGAAATGCCATCGTCCAAACACCCAAATATTCAAAACCTCTGCGCTTACTTTACAATCATAATACAACCAACCAAGGAGCTCCTTAATGGAAAGGTATTCTGTAGAAAGGATGGAAGATTTTTAGTTGGTTAGCTTCCTTTGTTATTTCTATTAGTTGTGCACAAATGAACAATATGAAGAAGTCCGTTTGTCCCCTATCATTACAATGTCACTCAAATCATTAGCCCAAGTCAAAATCAACAAAAGTTATGATGAATCTCTTCTATAAAGTAGTAGGCGAGAAGTGTATTACATAGAAGGCAATAAAGGCTGGACTTACTCTTCCATTTATTATTTCGATACTCTTTTTCCATTATATTTTTGTTATTGAGTTAATTGTTTTATTTTTTCTGGTATTTGAGCCTCTAATTGGATTTTGGAGTCATAGTCAACTTACCATCTACCCCAATGACCCACATTTTTGTGGTATTAGTGGTTATTGGTCACATAAATGGTTGGTTGTATTGATGTACTCTCAGTTGAATTTGTGCATGCAGTTCGCATCATTACATCACTTTTATGGGAAAAAATAGTTAATTGTTTAGATTATGTGCAAATTTAAGGTTCTTTTATAATTTTCTTTGCCAATAATGGAATAATTTTTTCATTTCTAATGTAACATAAAGATGAATATTTTCCATTACATCATTTTTATGGGGTAATGTCATGAAATTTCCCTGTTTATTTTGTAAAAATACTTGGTTCACCAAAATAAAATTCTCATTCTCAATGTGTTTATAGCTTTATGAAACTTCTTAAAATTTGCAGCATGATAGCCTAATTGCCTTTGCTGCTGGTAGTTATCATCAAATCCTTATGTTTGGCAGGCTGAAGTTTCTGGATCTGTTAATTCAGAGGAAGGAAACCGTCCAGAGTTTCAATTGAAACAACATGACTACTTTGGATATGGTATAAATATCTTTCTTTTGAAAGAAAATTTAAAGCGTCCAAACCTACTATTGCATTTCCAATATAGACTTTGTTTATAATTGTAATTGTTTATTTGAGCTCAATCAGTCTCTCATCATTTGCCGTAGCATGACTATTTGGGATGAAACAATAAGCACATGCACCTTTAGGGGCCACTGTTTAATGTCAAATATGATGTTGTGTTGGATACTGTGTTCGACACATTGTTTTTCATCCATCTATTTTTAGAATGAGTACGCACAATATTGCATGGAGTTGTGGGAATTACTTCAATTTAAACTTCTCGTAAAACCTGAAATCAAAATATCACAGTACAGCATAGTTGTAGTTAGAACTTCTTTTAATTGTATTAAATTCAAAACTAAAAAAACTTACATTTAGTAAAATAGCTGCCAACATTTTGAACATTGAGCCACACCAAATTCACTTGAACAAAATATAAAGCTACTTGGAACAGCTTCAATAATTTTAATCTTTTCTGGCATTGAGCAAACTATTTGACTTGGTTCACGTATTATTTCCTCCTAGAATAGCTTACTTCATTCTACATGTTTTCGCAATATTTGAGTTCATGCAGATCTGCCCACCCACTTTTTTTGTAAAAAGTAGTTTGATCATATTTTTAACAGTTGTATATTGATTTTTAGAAGAGGTAAGTCCAATATCATCTTCATTGTGGCCGGTAGTTTATGGGTTTACTCGTGCAATTGTAGGAGTGTAACGTTGGTTTTAGTGAAAATGAATTTTATCTGTTGCTCCATTCTGATTCGTCAAATTGTTTCCCTTACACAGATGGTTCTGTCCATCAAGTGAATGTCATTGCCTTGTCTAAGGTAGCCACTTCTTTCGTTATGTTTTTATATGCTGTTGGGTTTTTACGGAAATAGATTTGAAGGAACTATCTTCTAATTGGTATTTTGTGGCAGCTAACCTGTTTACTACTTCCGCATGGAAACAGAAATTTACTGCAGCCAAAATCAATATGGAACGCTGATGGAACTCCAGAAGATTTTTCTCTTGTTGAACATATCTTACTTCTAGAGCCCCTTGAGGTTAATTTGATATTTTAGAGACTTGCTAAATTGAAATACAATTTAATTGTTTTTGTACACCCAAAAGCACTTAGACTGAGTTTAAGTTAATCTGACTGACTAGAAGAGGTCATCACATTCACTAATGTAGACAGGGCAGCAAACAGCAACCCTTATAATGATGCTGTGGTCGTGATCGCCCTAATCATCGATTATTAGATTGTCAATATTCTCATCGATATGAGAAGTTCGGTAACTTTGGTTAGCATCATTCTAAAAATGTTTTTGAAAAATGAACTAGATTTTTCTAGGTTGCGGCCCACCACTGGGCCACTCCTTGATTTCTATGCTAAATGAAAGGAGACTTAAGGAGTGATTACGCTACCACTCACATGGGAGAAAGACAACCACTGATACACCATCAAGGCTGACTTCATCATTTTCGATGTTCCCACCACATGCAAAGCTATTGTTTTTTCTCTCTTCTACTCAAGAGAAGCCACAAGGAAGATGAGAATCCATAATTAGGGTATTGGGATTGATGTGCATGATATTAATCTCATTTCTCATTTTACTCATCATTACCTCTTCTTTTATATTTTCTTGCCTGAATTTTTGTTAGATTTCATGAAGAAATCCTAATTCTTAGTTCACTATTGAAACTTTATTTTACATGCATGCATAAATGTTCTTCATTGAAATACTCATGAAATCCTAAACTCTACATAAAGTCCCAGCCTACATTATCCTACATATTCCATAATGCTTTCCCAACAAATTATCAGACCATTGGCATTAATGTTCACTGGTGTCAAGTTTTTTTTCTCAAGCTCATATGACTTTTGGAAAAGAATAAAAGAAAGTGGGGAGAGAGGCTGATCTCAATCCAAAGGAGAGGGATAGAGGATTAACTCTTCATATTTTTTAATAATCAAGCAATGTTATTACATTCCCCTTGCATTTCTATTTATAATAGATGGCCTTTTTTTGCAAAAGGCATAATAACTGAAATATTTAAAAGTAATAACTTACCGTTTCTGATTGTTATATTTAGTCGTGGCAAAATATCATAAATAAAAACAAGAACATAAAATAGCCACAATGAACTATGAGATGAGCAATAATATATAATTTATGATGGCCAAACACTATGGTTTCTTTTTATTCATGGATTTCACGTGGTCTGAAAGTGCTTGTGAGGTACGATTGCAAGGAGAAGAGGATTGGGATTAAAAAATGGTAGTTTCATTTGACTTGGGACCAGTTAGGCTTAAATCAGCATCACACATAGCGTTCTTGGAATCTCTCCAAGGGAAAATAAAGCTTCATTCTTTAGGATAAAACCCATTCTTACTCATCATTTGGTGTAGATTGTTGCAAATATGGACCTCAAGTCCTGTGGTTTTGATGATAACAAATATTATTAGATTTCTTACTGTGCTATCTCCTGTTAACGGCTATTAGTGCATATATATTTTTTATATGCACTAACATTTTAGGTCCATCGTATACTTGCAAGTTTGATCTGGTCAAGATTGTTTAGACTAGGGTTAAGTATGTCGTGAAAAGTGTGTATTTTCAATTCTTATGTATTTTTATCTTTTTTTTATTCAAATAATATATTTGGTGGTTACTAAGCTTGAAAATCATGCGCACACACACTCAAAGGAATGAGTTAATTTTAATATCAGAAGTTGGATTTTTTGAACTAATCGTACTGTATGATCACCTAATTAGAAAATGATTAAAATGGCTAATTAATTAATGCAAGATGAACTAATCATACTATACAATTTGTATCGTATAGGACGATTTGTTGAAAATGTTTTGGAGTTGGTGAGTAGACCTAAATACTAGAGTGTTGTAAGAACCAAATGGGTTTTTAAGAACAAAATGAATGACTTTGGCACAATAGTAAGAAATAAGACTAAAGTAGTAGCTAAGGTGTATAATCAGGTTGAAGGGATTAATTTTGAAGAGACTTTTACCCAAGTAGCTAGACTAGAAGCAATCAGAGTACTCTTGGCCTTTGCTTGCTTTAAAAGATTTAAGCTATATCAAATGGATGTCAAAAGTACTCAATGGGCTAATTAAAGATTATGTATATGTTGAGCTACCCCAGAATTTCGTAACTCTAAATTCTCTAATCATGTATTCAAACTAAAGAAGGCTTTGCATGGGTTGAAGCAAACACCTAAAGCCTAATATGAAAGGTTATGATGTGAAACTACTAGGAGTTACATTTAGAAATGAGAAAGAAAATTGTTTTAAGTTTTGCCCTTATAAATTTATTTTAATCATGCAAGAGAGAGTTAAGAATTTGAAAAATTTAACTTGCTTAGGCCAAAGATTAGCAATAGAGAATAACCAAGACTATCCTTTCAAAAAATAAGGTAATATTAAATGCAAAGTACAAGTAACATAATCCAACACTTAACAATGAGAGGTTCACCTCAAGGTCTTCTCACTCAACTACTTGTAGGCTTTAGCGGAGAAAGGTGAGCCAAATAATGAAAGATATTACAACTACAAAGATGGCGCCGAAGAACTTTGTTGGTGGAGAGGTAGTCGGTGGAGATGGATGTAGTGGGTGGCCGGCGAAGCTCCAATCGTAGCTTAAAAATCGTCGGTCGATGATGCTTGCAAGAATCGGGACGACTCGCTCCAAATATTCTTCAACGGTGGTGTCGTCTTCAAATCCCACGTCAAAGCACGGAGATCTTAGGATGTTGATGCTTCCGTCGGCGTTGAATACAAGACCCCACTCAAGTTCGGGATCCGCCATTCAACATTGAAGTGAGGGTTGAAGGGCGTCGTCTTCTTCTTCTCTTGCTTCAAATTCCCAAGGGCGGGAGTGGGGAGAGGGTTGACCAAAGTAGAGAAGGAAGGGGGCGGGTGGATTGGATGAGAAAATTTGTGTTAGGAGAGGGGAAGAGGAGAGTTACACAAATCTGAAATTAACTTCAGAATTTGAGTAATTTGGAGGGAGCAAATTTGAAATTGATTTCAAATCATCAATAGAATTAAGGGGCAATTAATGGGCATTAGTGTGGCCCATTAAAGGAGAGGTCGGCGGGCTCTAGAGAGAGAGGGAGAGAGTGATTTCAAAACCTGAAATTAAACTTCAGGTTTTCAATGATAATATGGGGGGAATTAATTTGAAATTGATTTCAAATTAGTGGGTAATCAATGCATTAACTGGTGCATTGAATGGGGCTTCACCTAGGGTGAGGCCGGCGGCTTAAAGAGGGGGAAATTGGTGTGGGAGCAATTGATTAGCTTCCAAATTAGCACAGGAGGTTTAAGAAGGATTAGGATGAAATCTGTTAGAATTTGAATTTCATCATGAAAACGAATTTAAAACTTTTATAATTTGAAAATTCCAAAATTGGAAAGTTTTTGAAATTCAAATTTTGAATTTTCAAAATTGGAATTCGTGGGGAATGGGGGATGAGGCCGACAGTTGAGGCTTACCGATGGATGGTGGAAGGTGGGGTGGCCGGCGGCTAAGAGGGGCCTAGGGCTGGCGGGTTGGGGAGAAGGAAAGGGATCGGATGATGGGGATAGACCACGAGTCACGGACTCTTCCAATGACTGGCGGGTATTGCTTTTCACCCTCACCTTGGGCTCTTGTTCTCCTCTCTAGCTCTCCACAAGAAGAAGAAGAAAAAGATAACCAAAACAAATTTCATTCAAAATATTCATTAACCTCAATACAACACATGAGACCACTATATATAGGTCTCAACTCATAAAAAGAGAAAGTACGAAATTTCCCTCTGGGCTATAATAACAAAGTAATTCCCCACAGGGGTAAAAATGGAAAGACTGCAAATGAAATAAAATAAAATGAAAATACATCATGACATCTGAATTAAAAGTAGAGGCGCTGAATCGTGGCCGTCGATCTGCGGTTTCGCCGGCGATAAACATGTCGGTAGCGTCTGTCGATGTCCTCATCAGGTTAAACACATTCCAGATAGAGTCTTTGTTAAGGGTAGTGTATATACCACCCTATTCCTAAAGAAAGGAGTAGACCTACTCATAGTTCAAATATATATTGATGATATATTTTTAGGATCTACAAATAAAAATCTTTGTGATAAATTATAAAAAATTATGAGAGTTTGAGATGAGCATGATGGGAGAGCTAAACTATTTTCTTGAATTTAGTGTAAAGCAGAAAGATCATGAAACTTTTTTTAGTCAATCAAAATACATATTTGACATTATTAAGAAATATGAAATGAATAATGCTAAGACAATAAACACTCCTATGAGCCCTACTATTCAGTTAGACAAGAATCAAAATGGAAAATCAGTTGATCAGAAGAAGTATGGAGGGATAATTGGATCACTCCTTGATTACCAATAGACTTGATATTATATTTAGTGTTTATCTCTGTTCTAGATTTCAAACTGATCCCAAAGATTACCATATGACTGATGTTAAAAGAATTCTTAAATAGTCTTTAAGCAATTAAACAAGTGATTATATCTCTTTGCTTAGCCCAAATTAAGCAAGTGATTATATCTCTTTGAACATCAAAAGCTCAAAGAAACCTTTCCTAATTTGTAACCCATAAATTGCATTTTCTCCACTTATTTTCTATGAAGCAAAAAATTATAGAAAATTCCTCATTTTCATTAGCCTAAAAGTCATAGGAAATCCTTCAATCTTCTTGCTTAGTATCTTTCCTAAACTCACATAAAAGTTCTCAAATGACTTTTGGAGAGTTCAGAAGACCATTAGCAAATCTTAGGGATCAAACCTACACCCATTTAATGCATTTGTTGAGTCAAAATCAAATAATAATCTCACCTAAAACATAAAAATCAAAACCCTGCCTCCCTTTATCAAAACCCTACCTCCCTTTATCAAAACTCTTCCTCCCTTTCATTCTTCTAACCCTAGTGGGTGAATGAGCACTTCTCTTTGGACACCTAAAACTTCAAAAAACCTCTATTGATTTGTAGTATTCAATATATCATTCTCTTATATTTGCTTCATTCACATTAAGCAAATCACGCATCTCTCATTGAACATAAAATTTCAATGATCTCTTATGGTTTATAACTCCAAAGTTGTAAATCATCTTCTTTATCTGTTGAGGTAAAATTAATTGGTGACCTCTCTTGTCATTAAACTTAAGATTTAAAATATTAGCTTCATCGTTTTTCTTATATCAAATTAAGTGAATGATCACTTCTCTTTGAACACAAAAATTGAAAGAGACCCATTTTGATTTGTAGCCTCAAAGTTACAAATCTTCCAACATTTCTATGAACTCCAAAAGTCCTAGAAAAATTCCCAATTCCTTAGCCTCAAAGCCATAGAAAATCATCTCTTTCTCCTTAGCTCCAAAGCTAAAGAGAACTCCCTACCATAGCCTAAAACCTATAAGTCTCCTCCTATTTTCAATCAACCACAAAGTTGTAGGGAATTTATACTCTCCTTAGCTCCAAAGTTAAAGGGGTTCTCTAAAGCTTTTGATCTTTTATCATCTTCATCTACTTAATCCTCAATCAAGTAGATGATCTTTTAGCCACTTGCTTCTAAACCTTGGCCCTTTGTGTGGACCCAAATCCAATAATAGTTTCTTTCTCTTTGGCCTCAAAGTCAAAATATATTTATTTGATCCAAATCAAATAGATAATCTCTAATTCATCTAGAATCAAACTCTAGTAACCTTTCACTTAACAAAACAAGTGGTTTCTCCTTTCAAGTTAATTAAAGCATAATCTTTAGATGTCATTTATGAGCCTCTTTTTGTTGAAATTCACCTTATCCAATTAGGTGAATTTCACAAAATTCTAAGCTAAATCCTTAGGCATGTTTACCTTACCCTATTAGGTGGATATTTCTCTCTTATCCAAACTCTAAGATAACTCTAAAAATCATTTAGTTTTCTTTTTATATAATGATAAATCATTCCACCATACAGGTGAAATGCCTACATCATTAGACTTGGGATTCCATAAGCAACATGCTTACTTCAAAATAAGTTGTGGTTGCTTTATGAATTCTTCAAAACCCTTCTAAATATGAAATAAATACTAATCAAATAAAAGTTTTGAGTCACAAACAACTTTAAAGTAAAATCACCACCACCACTAACAACAACATCAAGCCTTTATCCCACTACATGGGGTCGGCTATACGAGTCCTTTCTCTCCATTGTGTTATGTTAAGGGTGAAATTCTCATTCAAATCTAATAAAGAAAGATATTTTATAAAATTTTCTAATCAAGTTTCTTTAGGTCTACGTCTGCCTTTCTTGGCATAAGTCAAATCTAATATATCTACTCTCCTAAACGAGTCCTCGGAAGGCCTTCATTTTGTATGAACTAACCACTTAAGGCGACTATCTCTAATCTTATCTTCCACTGGAGCTACTTCAACCTTTTCACTCATATGCTCGTTTTGTATCCTGTCTCTATTGGTAAAGTCACTCATCCACCTGAGCATCGTCATCTCTGTATCACTTAACTTAATGACCAACATTATGCACCAAAAAGCATTGCAGGTCTCACCGCTATCTTATGAAATTTTCTCTTTTAAGTTTGAGGGGACTTTTCTATCACATAACAAACCCGATACATTCCTCTACTACAACCATCTAGCTTGAATTCTACTATAATATCCCTATCTATTTCACCATCATTCTGAACAATCGATCCAAGATATTTAAAACACGTATTCTTATTAATGATTTGATCGCACAAAGTCACAATCCCCCACTAGATTTATTACTACTAAAATTATACTCTATATATTCGGTTTTAGATTTACTCAAACGAAAACCTTTAGACTCTAAGGTTGACCTCCATTATTCAAGTTCACCTTTAACTCTCTCTAGTCTTATCTACAAGAAGAATATCATTAGCACAAAAACATACACTAGGCCACAACCTCTTGCAAATGTTTAGTGAGAACATCCTAAAATATTACTTTTAGTGTGACATACCATACAGTCAGAGCACACACTTAGGTGTAAAGCTCCTATGCATGTTAGGATTTGTCTTTTTTCTTTTTGTGCATGTGTTTATTGTGTTTGGTTTGATACCTGCTGGATTGTCTACGTTTTGGATATTTGTCCTTAAGTTGATAAGATAGAGATATGCATACTCGTTTCTATAAATGGCCATGTCCAAGAGGGCTTAAAAATAAGTCCTGATTATTTAACATTATTTGTTTATAGGTGTTGCTTAAAACCCCCCAAGAAGGTACGACTAATAAGATAGAAACAAGACTTGACACTTCAAATGCTAAACAATTTTGTGGTTTCTCTTTGCTTTACATATTAAACGACTTTCAAATCACTTTCTATTTTGCAGGTTTGAGTCTTTTATATTTTTCAAATGTATTTAATAGACTTAGGAAGTTTGTTTAAGCTTGTAGGATATAGTTACATGAAAGCTGAACTAGAAGAATGAACCCTCCTAAGTGAAGCCCTAAATGTATCTAGAAGCCAAAGCTAGAAGACTCACAGGCTGAGTCTACAAAAATATAACTGGGTTGTATGAGGGAGACAACTCAGCTGCCATGCTTTATGGTGCCAAATGTTGGCCATTAAAAGAGAAGCATAATACTAAGTTAAGTATTGCAGAGATGACGATGCTTAGATGGATGAGTGGCTTTACCCTTAGAGATATGATATGAAATGAGCATATACGTGAAAGGTTGGAGTAGCTCCAGTGGAAGATAAGATTAGAGAGAGTCGCCTTAAATGGTTTGGCCACATTAAAATGAAGCCTTCCGATGACCCTGTCAGGAAAGTTGAGGTATTAGATTTGACTTATGTTAAGAAAGGTAGAGGTAGACCTAAAAAGATTTGGTTAGAAAATTTAGAAATGATTTTTTTTATTAGATTTAAATGAGAATTTGACTTTTAATAGGACACAATGGCAATAAAAGATTCATGTAGCCGACCCCACGTAGTGGGACAAAGGCTTGTTGTTGTTGTTGTTGTGGAAATTACTTTTCCATTAGTTAGTTTTTGTACATTTAAACATGTTTTGATTATTTACTAAGTGTGCATAAAAAAATTCATGCATTTTTTAGATTTCTTCATTTATTTTGAGTGGGAGTGGCTTGGACTTTGTTATGCGCGGTAGGCTTTTAAAATAAAATTAATTTTTTTACCAATTAACATATAAACAATCTAAAATTAATCATAGGATAACCAATTTTCTAAATAAAAGAAATTTGCATGACTCATTCTAATGAGCCAAATTTTTAAAACAAAATGATCATGCATAACCAATATATCTCATTTAGATGCCCTCACATAAGGATTAAATAAAAAAATATGCATTTAGTGAGTCAGCATATGCATACTAACATGATCAGGCATCTTAGTCTAAAAGCCAAGTTATAGTCCTATATTCTAAATCAAAACAACCTCCATAATCTTCATGGCATTGAGACTAGACCTCATGGTTTTAAAAGTTTTTAGGCGGGTTTAGCTCATAGCCCTTTCCAGACAGTGTTGCAAATTTAGAGGTTGGGTTGACTTATATCTCATGTGAGGTGTAGGTTTATAAGTCCCTTGCACTTTGTTTGATTTATGTTCGAGATACTTCCCCTCAGTAGTCCTCGTATTAGTTCTAGGTTTTGAGGCTGAGGTTGATTCTAGTAACCTCATAAGCCTTCACTTTTGAGCATTTCCTTCAACCTATGTTGTTGAAATATAAGCCTTATTTTTTAAATCAAATTAATCAACTTAAATAAAAATCTAATCTTAAAATACAATTCTCAATATTGGATAGTTTGAGCACAAAAGAGTTTCTTAGAATCAAGTGCTCCTATATTTTCCTCCCTCTGGATTTCATTCCTAAAATTTTATTTAAAGTTGATCACATCTCCCTTGAAATTTTCAAAGACCAAATCGTTGAATTAGAATTTCTCAAATACAAAAAATGATAACTTCAACCAATACTTTAATGACTCTAAAGAAATTATTAGTTTAATCAAAAGTATTCTCAAGTAACAAACCTTTGAGATATAATTAACCATAAGGGTGTCTCCTATGGACATCTATATCCTAGGATAAAATAAACCTTATTCAACCAAATATTGAATAGGAGAAATTTTTTGCTAAAGTATAAATTATGAATTTTATTGAGTCAAGAGCAAAATAATAATTTTATCATTTGGGATAATATATTATTTTCTATGTTATTCTCGATCACAAGGTATCTCAATCAGTTGAGGATGATTACAAAATTCTACTAACAACATATAGTTACAAAAACTATATTCTTCTTCTAGTCTGGTTTGACTTAGTGATCTGAGTTTCTAGTGCTTCTGTTTTGGCTTAGTGATCTAAATTTCCATCTGGTTGTCTGCTCATCTAAATAAGTATGGAACAATTAATATTTAACACTTAATTCCATCATTAGTAGATCAAAGAGGAAAGTATAATTTGTCTTGTTTGGTCAAAGACATTAAGTACAGCAATAGGAAGATACATATTTAGTAATATCCACATACTGAATTTTGTCTGGAAGTTTAAACTAGTACTTGTTTTTCCAAAGATTTTGTTTTCTCAAGTAATGTGCTTAATTTACTCTTTTATGTTTTCATTATAGGTGGATATATTTCGAGGAATTACATTGCCTGATGCTCCATCTTTTAGGCAAGTTTTTGGAGGACAGTTGATTGGACAGGCATGTTGGAGTGAATGCTAAATGTTTATTGATGTCTATTTATAGTTTATTTGGAATTTTCCGTTTTTGGCATGGTCTCTATTGATTCTAAAACTGCAAGAAAGTGTTTGTATTGAACAATTTATCAATTAAAGACATTTACTTGGCTGTACATAGAGTAGTACTATACTCCTCAAATAAGTCCACATAAAATTCCAATTATTGATTATTGTGCAATGATGATATTGATGCTTGCATGACTATAAAAAAATGATATGATATTCCAAAACTGCTGATGTGGGGATTTGTTTGGAGTGATGCATTATTCAACTTTTCAAATTGCCATTTCTTAACTTGGTAGATTTACTGGTGTATCATTTGATTAGATTTGAAAAAAGGGTCAAAATGATTCCTCAACTCTTTGTGAGTGATTAAAATGGTTCTCAACTCTTTTGAGGGTCTTAAAAAGTGGTATTTTTTGTCCTAACATCAAATTTTGAGGTTAATAGTGTTAAATGAAGGGGTATTTTAATCATTTTAATTTAAATTATTTATTAAATATAATTTTTAAGTAATAGTATTTTTATAAATTATTAAAAATTTATTTAATAAAAAAATATTAATAAAATAATAACTTTTTTTATTAAAGAAATGTTTAATAATTTTTTTTTTAAAATTACTATTACTTGAAAATTATATTTAATAAATAATTTAATTAAAAAATGACTAAAATATCCCTTGATTTAATACTAATAATCCCAAAATTTGATGTTATGACCAAAAAAGACCCTTTTTAAGGAGTTGAGAGATCAAATTAGTTCCTCAAAAGAGTTGAAGATCATTTTGATCCCTCACAAAAAGTTGAGGGACTATTTTGATCCTTTTCTCTTTTAGATTTACTCTTTTACTTTTGCATAATGGATTACCAATCTGACACATGGCTGTCATTGGTTTCATTTGGACTTATACTTATGAAGTGTTTCTGCTAAGTTCAAAAGAGCAACTGAAAAGTCACCTCTAAAAAAATCTAACTAGCTGTTTCTGTCAAATCTTATTATGCCTTTCTCTAGTTAATGTTATCGTCTGGAATCATTCACTGAGATCAATTTAATGCAGGATATCAAATTTTAGAGGTTGGGCTTTGTAACAATGATTTGGTTGCCTCCACCATATTTTGAATGTCACAATTTTTTATTAGAGAAAGTGCGTCTCTAGCATAGGGTTGGCGATATTCACAAACATCTTTCGATATATCACACTGACTACGCTGCATATAGATTTTGGTAGTTTTTTTGAATAAAACTGAAAATTATTTGAATCTGCATATCAAAATGTTTTGTTATATTATGGTAGCTTACATTGTGGCATCTCTTTTGGTTTGCACATGTAGATAAGATATTTTTTATCTTATGTGACCTTGTGTTTTCAGTAGTCAGGTTTTGTAAATAAAATTACATATTTATTGAGCTCTTTTTCATCATCATCATCGCGAGCAGCAACAGAGCAACTTGGGTTACGTTTGTACTATACATTTCATCGTTCGCTCCTGTGAATAAGCTTAGTTGTGCTTAATGATGCGAACTAGAATCTACTTTGATTGATGCAATTCTAAGAGGCGCTGTCGTTCTCCCCAAGAAGTTCAGGTCGGCTGTTTCCATATGCAGCAATTCAATGTAGCAGGGCGAGTTTTCCTTATTTGGCTGCCTTCTATCTAAGGATTGTAGCTCTTCTTGGCTGCTTTCATCTGCAGTATTTTCGTGTGTGCATTGTAGCTGCCTTTGGAAGATCTTTTCTTTTGATTATTTTCTTCCTTTCTCGGTAATGTACTGTAGATGGACAACTGGGAATAACAGCAAGTTGTTAGCTATGGAATTCAAAAAGATGGAAATTTTTTGTTTGGGCTGACATTAAGTTTGGAACTTGCTGTTTTTTTTTCTGGATTGTTCAGTGGAAACTTACAATATTAAGCTAGATCTCGGAGAAAATGAGGAATTATATATTTTGCGGCTTTAGTGCATTATAAATTGGACTATTTTGGCATGTAAAATAATAGTTTATTGAATAATAAAATTAAGATTTCTTTCAATTCTTGTGTGAGCTATTGTATGTGATTTCTTCGAATACTTTTGACAACAACTTCTAGAGGATGATTCTCCTTGTAGATCGTGATGCTTGGATCTACTTCTATCCTTTGTTTTTTATTTTCAATTTTTTTAGAGTTGGAGTGTGCATGTGATCGAGAAATTTTAAAGCTTGATATCTGATGATTTACTTTTTGTTCTTTGAATTTCAATTATTTTAGAAATTTATATAATTTCTTATATTTTTATAAAATTTAGCGACTGCTTGAATTGAAGTGAATAAATTTTGTTCTTTTGATTTAGCTTCAATGGCTAATCTTGGCTTAAATTGAAAATTGGGAATTTACGATTTGTGGCTTTTGTACTTCTTTGTGCATCACATCCTATGTTTAAATGAGCAAACCTTGGATCCTAGGACATTCTACGTTAAATTGATATTATAGCTTATGGTTACATCATGTCAACTAAAAGTAGGATAGAATAATTGGGCCAATAAATAAATTAATAACATATTCAATTTAAACAAAATCATACAAGTCATGACTCTAAACAATTTTATACCTACATTTGATAGGAGGCATAATTTGTAGAGTTGATTAATAATTTGGAATACTTCTTTGATTTTTAACATCTATTTGCTTTCAAAAGATTTGAATACGCTAAATCTAAATTAGTGGGCCGTGTTCTATTGTTTTGACAAAGTATAGACTTGGTATCTTTTATTTTGTGTGTATAAAGATCTATTGCATGAATAGTTTTAAGCATTTTAAGCAAGATGAATGTGGTGTGTATAAATATTATTATGATTTTATTATTATTTTTAAATAAAAACTTACTCGAGATTATTTTGTTATCATTATTTGTTTTATTAAATCTAGTTACAATGGAGAAGGATTTAATTAGCTATAATTCACCAAAAATCCTATTGGAGGCTTTAATAATATCTTTGAATTTTGAGACATCACTAGTATTTTGTTAGGACAATGACACTTGAAATAAAAAATCACTAAAGAAAAATCATTACCTCCTCTTAAGTGTGCCATTACAGTACTATAATTGGTTCTTAACATTTGGTTTAGTTAACAAATCACCAATAATATAAGATTTGGATTAACTTGCAAAATCAATTGAAAGAATTTCAAGCGAAATATACCAATTGAGCAATAAAATAAATTATATTAATGTCACTACAAAGAAATTTTTTCTCATCCTTATGAGCCTTTCAGACATGACAAGAATTTTGTGTCAAATTTGATCCCATGGAATAAACTAGTTCATGAGTAGTCATTCGCTGATGCATTAGATGTAGAAGTAGTTTTGTATATTTGATTATGTTGAATTTGAATTTGTGCTACTGTAAAACATGACTATGAACTTGAACCTTCATTTTAACAAGAGCTGAAATTAATATGTGAAATTGAATATAAACATGCAATGATAGCTGGATTAGAATTTGTGTTTGACATTTAGCTTGAAATTATATTTGAACTTGAACCTTTAAGAGAAATTGAGTTTGCTCTTGAAAAGGAGACTCATCATATATTAAACAGATGTTTAAATCTGGGTTAAAATTGAATTTGAGGATGAGATTAATTCTGAGCCTACATATATAAATTGAGTTTTAATTTGATATTGTTCCTAAACTACACATAGAACCCAAGTCTAAGACTACTTGTGAATCTAAGTTTCTATTGAAATTGAATCTACTCCTAATTTTGTGGCTGAATAAATTTTGCATTCTATAGTTGAAGAGATAATTGACCACCACAACAACAACAACATCAAGCCTTTATCCCACTACGTGGGGTCGGCTACATGAATCCTTTTTCTCTATTGTGTCTTATTAAAAGTCAAATTCTCGTTTAAATCTAATAAAGAAAAGTCATTCCTAATATTTTCTAACCAAGTCTTTTAGGTCTGCCTCTACCTTTCTTAACATAAGTCAAATCTAATACCTCTACTCTTCTAATCGGGTCATCTGAAGGCCGCCGTTTTATGTGACCAAACCATCTAAGGCGACACTTTCTAATCTTATCTTCTACTGCTTCAACCTTTTCACGTATATGCTCATTTCGTATCCTATATCTAAGGGTAAAGCCACTCATCCACCTGAGCATCCTCATCTCTGCCACACTTAACTTAGTATTATGTTTCTCTTTTAATGACCAATATTCAACTCCATAAAGCATTGCGGGCCTCACCACCATCTTATAGAATTTTCCCTTAAGTTTGAGGGGTACTTTTTTATCACACAACAAGCTTGATGCATTCCTCCACTTCAACCATCCAACTTGAATTCTATTGATAATATCCCATCTATTTTACCATCCTCTAAACAATAGATCAAAGATATCTAAAACGTGTACTCTTATTAATGACTTGATCGCCCAAAATCACAATACTCTCGCTAGGTCTATTACTACTAAAATTACACTCCATATATTTCGTTTTAGATCTACTCAAGCGAAAACCTTTAGACTCTAAGGTTTACCTCCATAAATCAAGTTTATCTTCAACTCCCTCTTTAGTCTTATCAACATAAAGAATATCATCAGCAAAAAGCATACACCAAGGTACATCCTCTTGCAAATGTCTAGTGAGAACATCCATGACTAAAGCAAAAAGATATATGCTTAAGGCTAATCCTTAATGTAACATGACAGAAATAGGAAAATACTTGGTCAAACCACCTTGTGTTTGTACACAAGTAATAGCTCCTGCATATATATCTTTAATGATTTGAATATAAGCGTTATTAACTCCTTTCTTTTCAAAAACTCTCCATAGCACTTCTCTTGGAACTTTATCATATGCTTTTTCTAAATCAATAAATATCATATGTAGATCCTCCTTATTTTCTCTATATTTCTCCATCAAACCTCTTAATAATTGTATGGCTTTCATAGTCGTCCTACCCGGCATAAATCCTAATTGATTTTG